ACAAGTCAAATCACAAAATATCAGTTCAACCTCATGTGAGGGCAGTTAAATAGAATTAATATAATATCTGATACCATAACCTGTATAAGCACTGTTTCTCATAAGAAGCCATATTACACACTGATCCAGCGGGCGTTGAGATTGTGATTTCCAGAAAAGATGTCGTGGTGTGACGATTGTCCAGTTGGTATTATGATGATCGCCGGAAATTGTAAAGTGTATGAGGTGTCCGCTTTCAGTAAAAATGGCTTGGTGATCGTTTCCCCGTGATACCTGGTGTCTCTTCTTGCAAAGTTTTCAAAAAGGCCTTATTCCAATCCAGTAATAGATCGCTTCGACAGTTACCTATCCCGAGAAGGCAGCCAAAACAGCAGTAAGTACTGATAGCTGAAACAATCTATAGGCTGTAAGTCTGTGAGATAAGTTCCTTAAACATTCTTGGGTAGCTCTAGGAAGGTGGAAATTAAATGGTATGTCTATCTGCAGGTGGTCGGGTCTAGAAGGATTCTCTCTACAGTGGTTCTATTCACCAAAAATAGGTACTACCCAGTTTCCCATATTCAAACTTCCCTTTTAAATTTACACAGTGCCAAATAGAACATAACAATATAATAATAATACTAACGGGGCTTTGGCACGTTAACCTTAGCACAACTCCTCTGGAGTGATGCTGACAGTAACAAGTTAATATGAGGTAGGTCCAATATAGTCTAGTGATGTGTAGAATTATTTATAGATAGTAGTTCCTGTAATATATGAATTACATATGTGAATAAAATAATAAAGTATGCTAGGCAAGGCCCAACTGATTAAATTAAAAAAAAAATAATAATAAATAAATTATTATTATTTTTTTTAACAAATTAATATCAGTTTAATTCTTGTTAAGTTGAAATATTAAAGTTTAATTAACTATTGAATTTGTATAGATCATTTGAAAGAATTGAACTGATTTTGATTTTTAAGTTTGAAAAAAATTTTAATATTGTTAAAATAGTATAATAAAGTATATTATATAAAAGTTATTTAAAAAAGTTTAATTAAAACAAGTAGAAAAATATATAATTTTACTTGAATATGTTTTTAAAAAAATATATTAATGATATTAAAAATAAGAAGAAGAATAATAATAATAAAAATGTATATAAAAATAAAATCAAGAAAAAGAATTGCTATAGGTTTTTTCATATATAATCAGAAAGTAGGTTGGATTTTCAAACCTGTCAACTTATTAACTAAAGGTTCTATTTCAATATAACAGTGATTTTTAAAGTTCTTATATCCTTGAGTTTAAAGCTTATAATAAATTAATATATTTTTATAATATAACTACAGTATATTAATTAATATTAAATAAATAAGTTAATATATTAAATAGAGTTTTTTTTTTTTTTTTGCAAATAGGCATTAAATGTAAGACTTTTTATTAAACAAAAGTTTATAGCCATTACATTAAAGATCTTTATATGAGTAAGTTAATCTTAGCCTATTGCAACTTTTCTAATCCGAGTACCAACTTACACCAAGAAGATGGGTTTATACTCGAGCGTGAACTACAGAGGGCTATTAAATAGAATTTATTAAAAATAAAAAATCTATTATTGATATAAATTAGATTAATTAAATATAATATATATTGAAACTTAATTAATTAATTATAAAAATAACCAATTTTTATAACCAAATAAATTTGAACTTTATATATTTATTAACAACATTGCCATTGTATTATAGATTCACAAGTTTAAAATTAATTAATTTTTAATTATTAGTTTGATTAATTAATATAACATAAATTGAAATTTAATAAAAAATTTTATAAATTTATAAATATTATTTTTTTTTTAATTTTAAATTGATTTTCAAGATTTTTAATTAAACAACTTTAATAAAAAATATTAACTTTAAAAAAAATTTTTTTTTTTTTTTAATAAATCAGCATTAAACATAAATATAATAGAATATTTAAAAATTTGTTAACCATTTTCATATGAAATATGTATATAAATAAACATATTTATAATAGTTCTATTTATAAAAATATACTGTATATTATATATAAAGTTTATAATAACTAAGTAATGGATTTTTGGTTTAAAAAAGCCTCCCCACACATCGATATAAGATGAATATTATAAGTTAATTATATGATGAATTTTTTATATTTAAATTAATACAACCTATATATACAAATTATCATATTTAAAACTAATATTGGTTTGATTTAAAATTTCCAAGTTTTAATAATTGATTACGAAAATTGGCTTTTTGCAATTAATCTAATTTACTATGATTCAATAAAATCTAGGTTTTATTGAATTTATTTAAAATACGATTACTATTATTATTAAACGTAATTACAAAATATTTAATACAAAATCCAATAACAATATTTGAAATGTTAATAATAAAATCATTCCTTTGTTTTATTCAATGATATTTTAAAGATTACTTTTAAATATTTACTACATCTTATGAAACAGAAGAACAAACAACATAAATTATAAGTAACATTTATTCCAAGGATTTTTCTTCAAAGCCATACTTAATCCAGTATTTTTCGTTCAGAAGTGAGACTTTTCCATTATGAGTTAGCTTTAAATCATAATTACAGAGATTTGTTCATGAACTTCCTTTTTTGAAAACACATCCACCATTTGCTAGGTTTATTATCAACAACATACACTCTATCAATTAGTCTATTTGCTAGTTCCTGACGAGCTTGTGTTAAATATTGACGTAGGAGAGCTAAATTTTCAACCATATATTAATAATTATAAAAGGTAACGTCATAGAATTTATCCGTCCACCATAATTGATATTTATAACTTACTTGCATCAGAACGATCAGATGGAGCAGCATACAGTGCATTTAATGGGAAAGTTGGGTCACCGGGCAAAGCGAAGCTATCCAATGCTCTAGTAGTCAATAGTTTGCTTGCCTCCTTTCGTGTAGGATTTTTCACGAGTTGATTTAAACAGTCGGATATAAATAAAATGAGGTAAATTAAAACTCTATCTGCGTTTCCCTTAATTTCAAAATTACGGAAAAAACAATTTGCACGAAAGAGATCGAGAGCTTCGTCAATGATATCATCTTCATTGGGAGGTGCTATAAAAATGTATAATTAATTGACCAAAATATATAAAAGCTTATGGTTAAAAATTAAATACCGTTGATTTTTACCTGGTGGTGCTGGACCTCGATCTTTGGTTTTTATTGGTAATATAACCATATTACCAATTGTTCGATATTCGGTTTTGTCATTAAATTGAGAGTGGTATGCCTGCAAAATATCATTTTATTTAGTCATATTTCAGGTCTCATATAAAGTCATGATACCCACTCACCGGCATGGCGAGAGAAGGATAATGCTGTAAACGGACCAAGAAATTTGAAGTAATTTGTTTGATTCACCAATCAACCTTTTGGAATTAACTGGGGTAGTAATTTTTACACCCCGGTATTGCTAATATTATTGATTTTTTCACTGCAAAATCATAAACTCTAAGCATGGTTTTGCTGCGAAAGAATCAAAATAAAAAAAATAAAAATGAATTTATATTAAATTTATTATACAGTATAATATTCTTATGCATAATAAATCAAGATATAATATTTTTTTTCGTATTAAAAATTAATAAAATTTTTTAAGGAATTAAAAAACCAATTTATGTTTTATATAGCTTAAAAATTTCAAATTTATTTGTTTATACCTCTTATTAAACTTACAATTCAATAAAATCTTTCAATTACAAGACAAAAATTACATTGATTTTATTGTATCGCAGGACCAAGCTATAAAGACTCGATGTCTCTTCGTAATTTTTTAAAGGTTCGCTCGCAAAATTTGTCTACAACAATCCAAGTATCACCACCATCGCAATAGCAACATTCATCATCATTCCATTTACCCATACCAAACTTGCTGCATTTCTGATATCTCCCTTTTGCATCATAAGAACATCACTACTACTATCTTTAGATATTATGTCCTGAGAAGAGTTTGTATCATCCTCCTGTACTATTATTCCCGGATTCCCACCGGGTTGATTGGGACTCGTAAACCCGCCTTTACTGAACACTGTATTCTTGAAATCTACCGCTACTTTAACTTTCTGTTCTATACCCGTCGGATTTGTCACACCTAAACAATATTTGTCAGGTTGGTCGATAAATATATTTCCGGTATCTTGATCGCACGTGAGGACTACGGAGTAAATACAAGAAAGAGAGGGTACAAAGGTGAAATCAAGTTTGTGGGAGGTAAATAGGTTAACGTCTGAGTGACTTATAACTGCGGCCGTGACTCCACGGATATTTTTGAATGTAGAGGAAGGAAGACCAAGGTAGCTTTGGCCGCAGGATTTGTCGAGTGAAATTGAACGATCGGAAGTCACTCGCACACTGTAACCTTTAGACGGTAAATAGAATTGACTATTCAATGGTGCATTATAAATTAATTGCGAGAGAATTATACATGATGATACCTACTAACATAATCGGTATTAACGTCACTACAAATTACCCAAGTACCATTATTCGGTGGAACAATGACTGTCCTGTAAGGAACTATTACTGGTCCTAGTTCTTCTCCTAGTATCCCCGTGACCTATTGTAAAGGGAAAAATGAAATTGACAAAGCGAGTTACTAATATAATTAGAATCTAATTCAACTGGTCAATTTATATAAATACCTGAGAAACGATGGTTACAAGTAAAGATAATAAAGATATGATAGATATCATCGTGGGATGGGTTTTGTAAGTATTGCGCTGCCTTAAAAAAAAATTAAGATCCAACGGGAATTTATCTGGGTTGAAGGAAAAGGACAACCAACAACGAATATCGGTATTTAAGGACGTTAAGGAAGGGGTGATTTACAAATTCTTAAAGAACCATGTGTATATACAACATGTATGAAAGAATAAAGTTACGGATCGACGTATCTAATATTTAAGAAATCACAAATTTTTGTTCGATCCAGCGAACTTTAATGATAAAAAACTTTAATTCTTTCAAAGAATATGATTTTATAGTTCTGAACCGTTGAAATAAAGATTTCGAGCACTTAAAAAACCTCTCATCACAATCAAATTACTATTCTATCACCAGCACTATATGTGTCATTGATGTTAAAAACGTAAATATACTGAATCTCGGTTTTATCACTTCTTTTTTCTGTAATGTTTCTGTCTGCTTAAATTTTCTATTTGCAAAGGTTTTTCACATTGTTTTACTGTATGAGTTTTAATCTGAATTTTAAAAAAATATCCAAGAACTTTAGAAATAATTCTCCGATCTTCGGATCTCTTGCACTGTTTCAATGAACAATTAAACATAGATCATATTGCGATCAATCGTTCGATAAAAATTTCCGAAAATCATGGTATGATATCATTCTATAAGGAAAATCATATTCTAAGCCATAATATAGCATTCCGGAGGAACCATAAAGAAAATTAAAAAGAAAATTAAAAAGTAAAGTGACAAAAGGGAGTCAAGCCAAGCGTGTAAATCTGGACAGTTATGGTGGTTCAATCGTCAAACCTTAAAAAATACGTCATTAAAAATTATTTCATGTGATATCAGCATTTTTTCAATTGGTTTGAAACGTTCTTTAAATAAAAAGTTTCGGTTGCTACTTAGGGGTACCATTAATTAAACAAAAACCGAGTCATTCACGTGTAGAATACATACTGCCGACTATTATCAATTATAAATTCAATTAAAACTGTTAAAATTTTTAACTTTAGTTTATATTTTAATTTTTTACAAATCGTCTAATTAAAAAAACTACATTTATATATTAAAGTACTGCAATAATATAGTTTTATTTAAATGAACAAAAATTTGCTAGTTTTTAATGTTAAAGGGAGACTTATCTATAATCTTTATCAAAGAAATAAATTTATATAATTATTATTTGAATAAAATAAGTTTTTAATTAATATATATATATACTGTATATATAGATTACAATATAAATTATATTATTTTTTATTTCAAATTAATTTGCGCATTAATATGTTTATAATAAAGTTAAATATTTTTCAAAGTTGCATAACACCTGTCAATAAGTTTATAAATTTATACAAGATTTTTAAATTCTTAATATTAAAACTATTATATTGCTTTTATAATTTAACCATTTATTATATACATATAATATATAATATAATTATTATATAAATGAATTTATTTTATATATTAAATAAATTTTACTTTAAAGAATAAATTTTTTATTACTAGTTTTAACTATTTATTTTATAATTTAATTTTAATTATATTGTTATAAAAATATTTATAAAAATATTATTTTAAATAAATAATTTCAATAAATTACTTTATATTATTATTGTTTTTATTTTTAATTTATAATAAAATTAAAATCATATATTTATTTAATTTTATTTGTTTTTTTTTTTTTAAGGACTAAGGTGCGATATATGCGAGGATTTTTATTGTAAGTTTTATAGATTACAATTAACCATTACATGAACAGTCTATGTTTAACTGTCTGTCG